CAATGTGACTCAAAAGAAGGGTTATTTGGAAAACTGTTAAGAAAACTGATTTAGGTGTCATTGAGGGAGGGAATTTAAAAAGGGCAGTGGGGACCATCTAGCGGGGTTTTGTGTTATGATTTTATAGGCAAGTCGCTGAGGGCCAAAAAGTTGAAGTGATCCCCCTGAGAATGCAGGTGAACTCAGCATCACATTCCTTCTCAACAATTTTTCAGAGACATTTTACCGTGGGCTCTGGGGGTCCAGAGAGCCACCCTTATGGAGGGTGTTGGAGGCCTCCCTGGCTGGCCAGCCCCTCCTGCTCTGCTCTCCATGGCTGTCAATGGCTTGTGATGTGTTAGCCTTGCTGGCGTGAGTCTGCAAGTAAATAGAGAGCCTCAAGCCAACAGATCTTGAATTTTTTAGAAAGCTGTTAAGGAAGCAAGGCTTGTGGGACCCGGACTCGGTCATGTAGGCCACAGGTGGGGGCAGGAAAATGGGGGAGGCGTGAGCTCAGGGTGACTTAACTCTCTGATACATTGGCTAGCCCTGACTTGAGATACAGAAGTAGCGCAAACTCTATGACTGAACGTTTTCTTCTTTGTAAAATAATCTGACTTTCAAGATTTACTTACTGGATCATCCATGAAAATCTCCTGATGGACACTGGAAAGACATTAAAGATCACCCAAGTAGGGCGCCTGGGTGGCTTAGTCGGTTAAGCGTCCGACTTTCGCTTAGGTCATGATCTCGCGGTTCGTGGGTTCGAGCCCCGCGTCGGGCTCTGTGCTGACTGCCAGCTCAGAGCCTGGAGCCTGTTTCAGTCTGTGACTCCCTCTCTCTCTGACCCTCCCCTGCTCACGCTGTCTCTCTCTCTCCTAGAAATAAATAAAACATTAAAAAAATAAAAATAAAAAATAAATAATAAATAAATAAATAAATAAATAAAGATCACCCAAGTAGGTGAGCCTAGGGAGGAGCAGGAAATATGGGAAAAATGAATTTACTTAGGGAACTAACAGTTGTCAGAAAATACTGGTGCAACGCGGACTTTAGAGATAAAGTGAGCAGTTGCTACTGACTTCTCCAAATTCAGATAATTCATCTCTGTTGGAGGAAGTTATCAATGGACTTTGGCTTCCATGGTCAGCTTAAATGATCTTAAATAAGAAAAGATTCCTCTTCACCATCTACAAGAATTTATTAAGTACTCCCTTGGATGTGTCATATTATAGAATGAACCCTTTGTGTTTAGCATGTTGTCAGTAAATATTTGATAGGTGTGAGAGAGAGGCAAGCCCTTCAGAACTGATCATTCAATTGAATACAGAGTATATTTTCAATATGAACTTCCCTAACAACACAGTGATGGGACGAAGGACAGATTTTGTGGGGTCTGAAGTTTATACAGTTTTCAAAGCCCCCTTTAGGGAAAAAATATATACAAAATCATGGAAGAAAAAGTGCCTGTTGTCACTTTGATATCATGTGACAGAAGGCAAATGTGACAGAAGGAAAATAGAGTGGTAAGAGACAGTGTTCTTAACTGATTGCAGTGACTATATCTTACTTTTGCAAAATTTACAAGATTTCACAAAAACTTATCACCAAATGAACCCATTGTTAAGGCTTCTCAGGAGAGCCTGTGCAAGGGTGGGAATCGAACCTGAAGTTCATGCTTTGTTGCCTTCATGGGAAGTCTTCCCTGCAGCTATCATGGACCAAAGCTAATCACCAGAACAGTTTGAATTGCAGAGTCCTCAAGAGAGAAACAACATATGTTGGAGGACATAATCAGCCTCATGACAGTGACAGCATACTGTAGTACTGACAGAATGGGCCCCACGTGCCCACTGGCCAACACCAGACTGGAGTGGTCCCTGATCCCTGATCGAGTGGTAGAATAGTACATGGGGCAGGGAGAAATAGTGTTGTATGGTATCAGAGCTGTGCAAGGTGATAAATGATGTAGATATAGTATTTCATCATCCGATTGATGCATATACCTCAGATAAACAGAACTGGTAACAAGGTCACCTGCCTGAAGTTCCCCTCCTTGTGTGTGGGTTGTTCTCTGAGCTTTCCGGTGCCATGGTAACATACTCCTTGAAATATTTACAGGTAGAGACACACCTGATGTGATATGACAAGGTTCTAACTGTTAAAGATATATATCACTATTTTGCAAGTATAAAATCAGAAAGTTGTGCATATTAAGAAGTGCTGGAGGAACAAAGTATATTTGGCTTCCCAAATGACTAATATTTTTATTGTCATGATGAAAAACTCAATTTTTCTCCTAAGAAAGTTTTCATTTCCTACTGATTTCAAAACACTATTTATCAAGGTTGTTGGATATAACAACTACATACAAAAATCAATCACCTTCTTGAATGCCAGCAATAAGCAATAAAAAATATATTAGAAACTCAGCACTTCTAGTAATAAATGTATATCCCCAGGAATAAGTATAACAAGAAATGTGCATGATTTGTGGAGAAAATTGTACTTCACTAAAAGGCATTAAAATAACCCAAGTAAATGAAGGCATAACCCATGATAGAAGAGTCAATACCAGAAACATGGTAAATTTCCCCTAAATTAATGTAAAACTTCAACTCAAGTTGAAACCATGCCAGGCAGTTTCAGTAGCATCAGTGGGAGTGTGGGCTCCTGGGTTTCAGGGTTTCTGGTCAGCAAGAGAAATGTGATTTCTGCATGAGCAGTGGAAGCAGAGAGTATAGACATGGGAACCCCTAGCCCAGTGGGGGTAGCAGCTTCCAGGCCTTGGGTAACTTTTCCTTCTCCATTTTGTTGCACCAGTCTTTCCCTCACTTTTGTAACTTATTCCCTGTATTAAATTCTATGCCTGAAATAGCTCAGAGCATTTCTGTTTTGCTGACTGGACATTTATAAATACAGAACACATACATGGGTGTTACAGACCAAATGTTGATGAGGTTCAAAGGCGTAAAAAGAGTGGGGCTCTAGTGAGGAGATTAGTGCCCTTTTGAGACACCAGAGCTCACTCGCTCTCTCTTTCTCCCTCTCCCTCTCTCCTTGCAGAGGCACATAAGAGAGGTCATGTGAGCACATGGTAAGACCTTGGCTTGCCCACAAGCCAAGAGAAGAGGCCTCAAAATGAAAGCTACTTTGCAGGCATTCTGATCCTGGACTTCCAGCCTCTAGAACTGTTAGAAATAATTTCTGTTGTGGAAGCCTCCCAGTCTGTATTCTGCTATGGCAGCCTTAGCAAACTAATACAGATCATAAAAAGAAAGTCAAGAAAATACCAAAGATTAACTAAGAGAAAAAAACCTGAATAACAGAAAAAAAAAAAAACAAGCTGAGGTTGAAGAAAAAAAAAAGAAAAAGACACAATCAGAGGTGAGATGAAGGATAAAGAATTATCTCCCTCTAATATTCTCCTACTATTTTGTTTTCTCTTACAAAGGGAGAGGGGTTTAGGGGGTTACATTTTATTTTCCCAGTGGAAAGGCCAAGTGAAGAATTGACGGATTATCCAGGGAACTGAATTAATATAAAAAGCCTGAGTAATTCAAGGCAAATCCCTTTTTCCCCCTTATCAATGCTTTTTAAACAATAGTATCTATAAAGTTGTCTAATCCTACTTTTACTTGCCTCTGTCACTAACACTAATACTTCACCAATTTTTTTTTTCTTTTTGAGCCTGGGAGAGGGGCAGGAGGGGTGGGGGGAGAGAGAGGGAGAGAGAGAGAGAGAGAGAGAGAGAGAATCCCAAGCAGGATCCACATTGTCAGCACAGAGCCAGATGTGGGTTTCAAATTCATCAACTGTGAGATCATAACCTGAGCTGAAGTCAAGAGTTGGATGCATAACTAACTGAGCCACCCAGGTGCCTCAATACTTCACCAATTCCAATAAAGTATATCCAACAGCTCAATTTCAAGAGCCAAGAAAAAACATAATGAGCTTCTGATGAAACCATAGGAAAGAAAAAATCCAAAACCTATAGCAAACTTGTCTGAAATGTATTCTTCTAACAGGTAAAAGTTATGCCAAAATTTTGCTACTGAAATGTTTAGGATGTTAAGCTGAACACATTTGCAGAATACAGTTTTAGATGAAGTTGAGGAAACAAAATTTAGTACTTGAAAAAGAAAACAGTAAAATCTTCCTGTAAAAAAACAAATTCTCTAGGAAAGAATATTTAAGAATTTTTTACAATGGTAACAGATTCAAATGGTACTCAGAGTCAATTTCTTGGATGATATGCAAACAAAAATTCTGCAATGCACCAAAAAGCACAGTTTCTCTGTATTGTGAAGGAGACTTAGGGAGAGAATTTGGCAAATTTAGGAGAAATAAGAATGTCAGACTAGAAAACTCACGCCTCGCTGTGACCTGATACAAACACATCTGTCTGCTTATTCAAGCTCTCTTGCCTCAGGTGCTGAAAAGCAAGATCCATTTTTCTGTAGCTGTTGTTTTTATGGTTAAATTAGGAAAACAAACATTTTTTGACAGAGCATTTCTGAATAAAACTTGAATTTAGAGCTATGATTCTCATAAGAGGGGAAGAAATTATCAGAAATAGAATCTTCAAGGGGCTTTGTCAAAAGCTCCCATGCCCACTCTTCCCGGTCCACAGTCCCCAGGGGAAAAGGGGACCCCGGTCCTGAAGAGAGTGTGGGGGATTCCCTCGGGCGGGCATGGCAGGGGGCAGGAGGCAGGTTGAGAATCAATGACATATATGAACAAATATGAAGAAATATTTTGTGGCAATAAGAAGGCAGTGTAAAAACTGAAAATTCTCATCTTGGTTTTATTTCTTTTACGTTTACAAAATAATCACTTTAAGGCTTTCTTACAAAAAAATTTTAAAAGACACATACAAATGACATTCGGGAGATGAGAATAATATTCCTCTAATACAAAGTCATTAAAGTAAATAATATTTCAGGTGCTGGACAGCACATATGGCACGTTTATTCACTAAGACCAGAAACCCTTGAGTCAATCACTTCCATTTTTTCCAACGCAGTAGTATTGGTTGTGGGAAACGATTTGCCTGAATTGTCTTTTTCTGTGTCCTGTTTAGCAGCTTCCTCCCAAGTCGTTGCCAGAGGCCTCCCCATGGTTTCTGGAAGCATTAGTGACAGCACTCCACTTATGAAGGCCAAAATCGCAACAAGCAACTAGAAGGGATTAAAAAAACAATAATGAGTGACATATCAAGAAAGCAATGTACCCTTCAGAATAATAATTTCTGAGCCTTTTTCAGAGGCAACAGAATTAAATTTGATGTAACAGTTGTCATTTTGATTCCCGGGTGAAATCTTTGGTTGTTTATGTAGAAATAGGCTTTGGTTACTTATGCATTCCAGCACAACGGTCACTCATCAATTCACTGACCTACTCAATAAATCCCAGTTAGTGCGCAGAGTGCTACCCTTGCAGGCACTGTTCTGGGAGATGCATAGAAAAAAGTCCTTGTCTCATTTTCCCAGACCCCAGAGTCTTATAGAGAAACCCAGCAGTTGAGCCTTGGCTTGGGACTTAATGGTCAGAGACTGCCTTGGTCAACCCTGTCCTTGCCCCCAAAATTGGTACACTATTAGTGTTCAATAAATGACACAGAATGAATGAATGAATGAATGAATGCACAAATGAATGTTTCAATGAACCAAACCTTACAGAATTTAGGGAGAAACCAAACAAAGGGAAATGAAAACTAATTGCTACGTTGGGGGGCAAGGATGCATCTGATTTCCTTTAAAAAAAAATTCAGTATTCCTTTACTTTCCAAATTTTGACACACAAAGGGCAACCTTTTAGATTAGCACCGAGGTGTGTGCCTTTAAAAACGCAAATCACATTATACCAATTTTACCTCAGTTTTTAAAATGCAAATCTGTGTATCTATTCTCTGTTGATCCTTATGAGATGCTTGCTGGGTGGATTCTAGAACTAAACCTCCACACAGTCTGTAAAAATGTGTCCCATCCTTACATAATTTAAACGTGTCCAGCCAAAAGTACTGCCAGGGAAGAGCCCATAAATTAGATTAAGACATGGTTTTCCTGATAAACCCACATACTTGGTGCTTTTACAGCCTCTGAGAATGAAAAACACAAAGCACACAGAGCAGCCATGATGTGGTGTGGGGCCCCGTCAACAACACGAGTGACCCCGGAAGACAGGGTGTGGTGTTGTTTTTGTGGGACGCTTATAACCTGTTTCTTAGAAAGACATGAGCAAGCCTGGAAGCAGTAGCAGAATTTAAAGTGACGCTGAAAGGCGTCTTTGGGTGCCTCCAGACGTAGCAGGTACACCCACTGAATAAGTCCAAACAAGAAATAGAATCAGTGGAAGATCCAAGACAGGACTGGGTTTTTCGTTTTTGGCCTCACAGCAAGAAGAGTCACACAGTACACAAACCCATAACCCTCCACCCCCTCCTCTCTATCAGCAGAAGACCTGGTCTCCAGCCCCCCTGGCCAGCTCCCTCCAACCCCTCAAGCCTCGTCTCAAGCCCCTACCCCTCATCCCCCACCTCTCGCTCCCCCTTCATCCTCTCCAGACCCCAGTGCCTCTCGCCTCTGACTCAGAGGGTGGCAGGTGGGGGCTCCTCTATCAATAGACTTCCCTCCTTCTCAAATGTTTTTGAACTTTTCCTTTCCACTGGTTATCTTTCTTCAGTAAAGACAACAGTTCTCGAGCCTCTTATAATCTCTGTACCCACTCTGCCTGAGAACTTGTTCTTGCTACCTGTGTGAACTTGGGCAAGCTACTTAAACGTCCAGCTCCTCAGTTTCCTTATCTTTAAAATGGAAAGACCAATAGTACCTCCCTCAAAGGATGGTTGAAAGCGTTAAATTAAAGGACACATTTAAGGCACTTAGAACAGTGCCTGCCCATGGTAAGCCATCAATAAATGTGATTCTATCATTCAAAGAAGCCAGAGAGGCCCTCAGTCCGGGCCCACACCACTCAGGCTGCTAGCTCAACCTCTGCCCCGGGCCACTACTTCCCGCTGTCCGCTCTCCCTCTCCTTCCATCCACAGGAGGCGCTCCGCCCAAGCCCCAGACTCCTGGGTTCAAGCCCTGCGTCGGGCTCTGTGCTGACAGCTAGCTCAGAGCCGGGAGCCTGTCTTTGGATTCTGTATCTCTGTCTCTCTCTAACCCTCCCCTGTTCATGCTGTCTCTCTCTCATTCTCTCTCTCTCTCTCTCTCTCTCTCTCAGAAATAAATAAAACATAGAGAAAAATTTTAAACAAAATCAACACTCATTAAATCTTTGCCAAACTACATGATGAATACAAAACTGATAGTTGTCCACTTGTTTTTTAGATTACCAGAAAACAATGGTTGAGAAGAGAAGCATCAGAATGAGTGATTTTTCATGTGCTTCTTTTCAAAAGAGAAATCCAAACATATCTTCTAGATTAGCATTTCCATTCCTCCAAATGAAAATATTGGCTCCTTAGGCAAGTTGACTCCCATAAATAAGCTTAATGAGAAATTTAATCATTTATTGTTTTTACTCATTAAAAACAACAAGCAACATCTGTTGCATCCAAAGGGAGCATATTCACGGAATATTTCTGCAAATATATACAAGATCCTGCTGACAGAGGTTGTCTTGGGAAAGGGGACAAAGGCAGTTCAGGGTCAGGGTGGAGGAGGAGCTTATTTTTTTGCATTCCCTTTTGTACTGTTTAACCTCTGTGAAAGATGTGGCATTTGGGTTTGTATCCAAGCTCTCTCACCTAGAGGGTGTGTGGCCTTGGGCTAACAATTACTTTCAATTGTCAGTTTCCTCATCTGTAAAATGGGGATAGCAACGAATAGTATCTGCATTCTACGAAACCAATTTTTGTAGTTTTGCATAGCAAGTGCTATTTAAGTATCTGTCGAAATAAAATTTAAAATCCCTTTTGACTACATAGCCCCAATTGACTCTTATGACAGTCTTTTTTTTTAAATTGTTAATAGGTTTTAGTATTTTTATAGTAGCTTGCTTTTACAGATTTAGCTATCTTCTGTGTGTTTCAGCTTACTGGTTTCAACAAACGCCTTTCCCATTTTTAGCTTCTATTTATTTAATGAGGAACACAAAGTGCTAGCCTAAAGGGGATGCTTCTAGAAAAGCCCAGGCCCTAAAAAGGATGGTGGACTCGCCAAAAACACCTCCCTGCACAGGCTAGACAGCACGTACCATTTCTCAATCTCAGAGTCAGTCTACGAAAGATGCTGGCATCCCAACACCCCAATTAAGAAACTTGACTGAGTGCCTGTTGCTGGGACGTGAGATTCCCAATGGTTCCCAAGGAACAGGCGCACCTGTGTGTGCAAGGTGTTTTTTTTTTTTTTTTAGGTAGCACCACACACTTTGTCCTATTGTGAGATTTTGTTACTGTATTTTGAAAAACCTATAACTAGCAAAATGCCCATAATTTCTCTGATAATAGTGTTGAAGACAACGATAAGTTAAAAAGCCAGTCTCTTTGATTTAAAATATCAATTAAATTATAACATGAGTGGCACACGGAGTGAGGGAAATGCTCTGCTGGACACAGTTGTGGGGATACAAAGTGCCCTGTCTTGCAAGAGTCCAACAGTTTAATGAGGGGGACAAAGACATGCATGCAGCTCATAAAGCCAGACTGTGGCTGTGGGCTGTGAAAGGGGCACATGTGAAATGCTTCGCAGACCGAGGAAGGGAGAGGTGGGGTCATGAGATCCGGGTCTTTCTTAGAGAAGTGGGGTTTGCTCTGCATCTTAAAGGGTACATGGAAGTTTAGCAAGGGGAGATGGGAGGAGGCTTCTCTGCAGAGGAGATGAGGCAGAAAAGGAGAGAAGGATGCAGAGGAGGGGAAGTGGGTGAGGAAACAAAACGGGACGGGGGTGATCTGCAGGGGGTGCATCTGGAAGGGTCCATCTGCCAATATTTGGCAGAGCTTGGAGTTTATTCAGAAGGTGGTGGGGCAGCGGGGTCCGAGCTGTGGTCTGGCAAACTCTTCTGATGGGGTGGGGGTGAGTTCAGGGAGAGGATCTGGGAGGCAATTGAACTAGGAGCGGGCAAGCCAGGGTGGTTTCAACAAAGAAGGGGAGGATTTGGGGTCATGGATTGGGAGGAGAGGGGGACAGAAGAACAGGGCAAATAAAACGCTGATGCTCAAGCATCAGGCTGGAGGCCACGGACTCCTAACCCAAAGTAGGAGGCAGAGGAGAAGGGCTTTAAGGCACTGACCCGTTCTGTCTGAGAAAAGCTGACTGTTTGTGCGACACCCCGGGAGGAAATCCATGAGACCAGTGGAAGAGGGGGTTTGCAGCTTGGAAGGGAAGGCAGAACTGAGAAGAGGTTAACCGCGCAGGGACTGGGGAGGCTGGCCAGGACGGCTCCCGGACCCTGAGTCTAGTTAAGGGGAAATCAGAAAAAGAATGAGGAGCCTGGAAGACAGACAGGGGACAGCCTGGACAGAGCTATGGCAAAGAAATTCAGGGGAGGGCACCTGAAGGAAGGGGGAGTGGGCCACAGACCCAGGGCTCTCCCCCTAGTCTCAGAGCACCTTGGGCCACCCTCACCCCCCCATCCCTTCCTGCCTCCATAACCCCCCACCCTGCCTGCCCCCCATCTTCTTCCTCCTCACCACAAACTGCCCATCGAGTTTCAGGTAAACTGAAAACCAGATCCCTAAACCTCTCCACCAGGCACCACAGAATCCTCCGAGCGGCAGGCAGCCCCTGGAATTGACCCTGACCCGCAGGCACATGGCGGGAACCCAGAGGGAGGACGGACACCAGAGCTCTCCCCACGCAGCTGCATGAGATGGGAGGGGAGAGGGTCCTTCCACAGCAGGCACGATGGCAGTTAACAGCTCACCAGTGGCAGAAGGGATCCGCCACCAAGATACCGGCGGCCACCACTCTACTTACCGACTGGTGAGCTGTTAATCACGTTTCTAGAAACGTCCAGCACTGAATTACAAATTGGCTTCCAATGAGCAAAAGATAGAAGGCAGTGAGCTGCTCTGCCTCTCTGCTGTCCCAGTGAGGGGCTATAAAGCGATGAACACCTGTGGTAGGAAGTTCCAGACGCTGGACAGGTAAACGCAGAACGGGGCCATGATGCTTCCCACGCGGCTCACCATGCTGCCGCTTCCCACGGCCAGCGACCTGCAAACGGGAGGAGCATTGAGACGGCAGGCAGAACAGAAGCCCAGTGGGCCCAGAGGCAGCCCCTGTCCACGCGCCCGGCACGGAATAGACCTAAGAACACTTAAGCTCGGGCTGATATACTTGAAAGTAATTTTACACCAATGTTGCAAGAATCACTTGCAATGTATAACCACGTTCTGGGCAACAGTGGTGTATACAAGCATACAGATAATTCCAGACCAATAAATAAATAAATAACCATTCTTCCTTTGCTACTCAGATGAGGCCCTTCTGTGTATTCATTCGGTCTAACATTGAGAAAAACCACAGTCTTCTAGAGCAGCACTTTGGGGTAGGGAATGGGAATTTGGAGAGAACGAAAGATTTGTATCTGTGGAACATTCTATTTCGATTTCTTAAAGTCAAGCAGTATCTTTTTTTTTTTTTTAAGTTTATTTATTTTGAGAGAGACAGAGACAGAGTGAGCAGGGGAGGGGCCGAGAGACGGGGGCGGGGAGAGAGAATCCCCAGCAGGCACCCCGCTGTCACTGCTTGGGGCTTGATCTCATGAAATAGGGAGATCATGACCTGAGTCAAAACCAAGAGGAGGCTTAACTGACTGAGCCACCCAGGCGCCCCAGCCAATATCTTACTGTGTTTTTCATCAAAAGTTACTTAAGGAAGTCGTATAGGATATGTAAAAAGGGGAAAATGTACTTTTGATATAAGTATTTCTGATAAAGCCAAGGAGAGAGGCTCTAGGAGAAACCAAATCTGTCAACACCTTGATCTTGGACTTCTAGCCTCTATAAAATAGAGAAAATAGATTTCTGCTATTTGAACCAAACTTGGGTGTTTTGTTATGGCAGCCATAAATATTAAGACAAGTGACATCAGAACAGCAAGAGACAACGTCTTGAGAAAATTAGCCTTGAATCCTATGGAGAGTCAGTGTAAGTCAACTGCATTTGAGATTTAAAATGGTTTTAGAATTCTAGAGTGTGATTTCACAATTTCTTTTTTTTCTTAGTTTTTTTTTTTAGTTTTTTAATGTTTATTTTTGAGAGAGACGAGTGTGAGCAGGGGAGGGGCAGAGAGAGAGGGAGACAGAATCTAAAGTAGGCTCCAGGCTCTGAGCGGTCAGCACAGAGCCTGACACAGATATCAGACCCATGAACTGTGAGATCATGACCTGAGGCGAAGTCAGACACTTAACTAACTGAGACACCCAGGTTCCCCTAGATTTTCTTTAATCTCCTTGTTAATGAAGTGCAGACAAAGCCTCAGATTCAAAATTAGCTTCATCCTGGAACTTTCCTATTATCTCAGCACTCCAGTAACTGCTACCGGAAGAAAGCATTTATACTCAAAGGCCAAATATATCGAAATGACATGTCAGTAAAAGATAACAAGGAAACAAAAGAAAAATAAGCAACTCTTACCTTACCATGGTTGGATACAGCTCTGCTGTATAAAGATAAATGAGGCCAAATGCTGCCCCAATGGCAAATTTTCCAGCCATGGTCACCACCACAGTCCAAATAAAGTAATTCTGAAAAAACACGCATTAGCAAAGTAGACCATCATAAGTAATATTTTTGAAGTGAAATGATAAAATCTTTAAAATTTTATTTAAAATGTTCTAACTCTCCCGCATTTTTTCAGGAGAATGAAAAGTTTTTATTTCTCTGAATTTATTTTGTAATCTCTACTCCTGGTCTGGAAAAACTTTCCGTATTTATGAAACGTAAGAGAAACACTTACGTGTGCCTCCCCCCAGCCTTGGAGACTTTTAAATTGTCAAATTAGAAAAGCCGTTTGCAAAGACTCCTTTGGAATGAGACATGCCCAGACGGTCCTGGCCCCGCAAGTAACTGACCCACTCCTTCTGGAATTGATCCAGCAGAGTGACTCAAAGAGCCATAAAAACAAATTGTGCCCTTTGTGACAGGAATCCTCTAGTTTATAAATTAGCTTCAGAAAATAATTTGAAAGTGATAACTGAGCTATTAAAACATTCTTTTTTTTCTCTTTCTTTTGGCTGATAACATTCCTCAACAGCGAAAGCTCTCAGTGCCTGGAGCTGTTTCTGCTGTTCCTGGTGTGCTCCACTTCCAGCTGTGGCTCACAGAGACCTCCCACATTCCATCTTTTCTCTCCTCCCCCATCTGCCAGCTGGATGTTGAGACTCAGGTGACCCTGGAGTCCGTATATTGAGAATGGCAGCACCTCTGTCTACCTGAACCCCTGAATGCCTCCAGGAAGCCAAACACTCCCACCAACAACCAGGTGCACCCACATCAAACTTTCTATGACCAAGAAATGAATATCTATTATGTGAAGTCCCTGAGATTTGATGATGCCTCTAATAAAGCAACTAATGTCATACTGTCACCCTATAAACTATGTGTTTATTGAATGAATTTATTTTACAGTACCTGCTGTAGACAGTATTTGTTGAATGAATTAATGTAACTTGAAAAAATTGAAGTCTGTTGACACTACCATTTGGGGAGAGATTTTATTAGAAGGGGAGAAATTTGTAGGTAAGTGTTAGTGCCCTGTTTCTAGAAATCCCCATTATCTACTTTCCTGTCTTTCCCATTATCACTGGGGCTTAACCACTATAGAATTCAAAGGTCCTGGGGCTCCCCTAAATCTTCACCAGCTCAAATGCAACTGCCATCAACGCAACTAGTATAGCTGCAAATTACTTTAAAAGACAAACTAGGGGCACCTGGGTGGCTCAGTCGGTTAAGCGTCAACTCTTGATTTCAGTCATGATCTCACGATTCATTAAATTAAATAAATAAATAAATAAATACACTTCAAAAATATTTTTTTAAAAACAAACCAGAAACACTATGGATGAAGTCCCCTCAAATCATCAGAGACCTCATGGTCCTGAGTGGTTTTACTGCATTCATATTAGTGTGTATCAATCACTCGGAAACTTCAGGTGCATAAAAAATCTGATTTGACAATCTTGATAATTAAATGAAGTTGTTACTATAAAAGGAAGTCACTGGGTAACATAACGTAAATTTCAAACAATATGCAAAACTTAAAATGCCTTGCTCTAAATGTTGAGGTACTGTTGCTGTATAATTATATAATCACTAGAGACAATGATAGAAAGTACTTTAAAGTATTGTTACAGTGACCATATTTTCCAAATCAAGAATGAAAACAGGTTCTGATAACATTTTGGGGGGGAAGCGGAGGGGTCCTTCTCGATGCAAGAGTTATTCTAGGGGGAAGGAGTTTGCCCAAATATAGGAATGGGAAAGTTTGTGTAGTTTGAGTTTCTCAGTGAGAAACTGCATCTTTAGGAACAAGCTCCTTGAAGGTTTCAGGCATACTAGAAATTGGAAACTACTAATGTACTGCAATGAAAAACAAGATATTCAAATTAAAACAGTCCTGAATATAAAACTCATTCTATTCTTCAGATGTCTCTATGGCTTCCTCCCTCCTTCAGTTTTCTAATCAACTGTCACCTTCTCTGAGAAGCACACCATCCCCAATCACCCTGGATAAAATAAAATAGTACACATGTCACTCACACACACACACACACACACACACACACACACTATCGCTAATAATGTATTGTTTTTCTTCAGCCTTCTACAAATTTGATTAACTGTGGTTCTCTAGCACCTAAAAGAACTCCTAGCATATAGTAGATGCAGGATATATATTTGTTAAATGAATGAATGTTTAAGATAATGATAATCACTGGAAGGTGTGATCTACTTTCCTCATTCAGGATCATTGTGTTTACAAATATAACACTGGCAATCTCTGGGAAGTGAGATTATGAGCTTTTTTTTAAAACATATTTTTCCTTAATTTTTTTACAATGAGTATGTACTACTTATATAACAGAGAAAGAATGGGTTTTTTAAGAAAACATTTCAAAATATTATGTATATTCACTGTCCATATGTCTGAATGGATCTTCATACTTACTGTCATAATATAACTAACCATGCCCTAAATAAAACGAAAAATAACTCACCTTGGGGATCACCATAATCACACCACAGAGCAGTGCACCTGAGATAAGGGAGAACACCAGAACTTTTCTTCTCCCTATACTGTCCATCCCCAAGCATATGAAGATGTAGGCAGGAATTTCCACTGCACCTGTCATTGAGCAAAAGGGCTCTCTATAAGTCATGGTAACCAACTGGACAGGGGACCTCTCCTATACTGGCCCTTTCCCCACCTCCAGGGGCCCCTAAGAACTACCCAATGACTGCCTGAGAGGCGGCAAGCCCAACCCCTTTTAAACCTCCTGGAGTGAGAAGGATGTTTCCTGTGAAGGGCACTGAGGCTCACACAATCCACCTGGCATTTATCACCTGCCCCAGGGATCTTGCCCCCCACCGGGCTGTCAGCTCCCCAGTACACAGTATGGTGTCCAGAGGACAGGCCTGTTGGAAGAATAAATAAGTAAATTCATAGATGACATTGATCATTTCTGCTCTTTGGCTTCTCATGCTTGGCAGAACTAGGAAAAATTCTATATTTGTAACTTCAAGCTTAAGAACAAGTAGAAATTCAGTGTTGGCTAGGTACACAAACTAATGAAAATATGTGATGGATTTTAAACATAAAAGTAAACATTTAAAAATCTAACACAGGGGGCTCTAGGGTGGTAGTTGGTTAAGCCTCTTACTCTTGATTTCAGCTCACATCATGATCTCAGGGTTCATGGGATAGACCCCCGTGTTGGGCTCTGTGCTGGCAGCTCGGAACCTGGAGCCTGCTTCTGATTCTGTCTCCGACTCTCTGCCCCTCCCCTGCTTGCACTCCTGTCTCTCTCTCTCTCTCTCTCAAATAAAAAATAAAACATTAAAGTTTTTTTAATCTAACACAAGGGACCTGGGTGGCTGAGTCGGTTATGCATCCAGCTCTTGATTTCAGCTCAGGTCATGATCACATGGTTCATGGTATCGAACCCTATGTGGGGCTGTGCGCTGAATCCTGCTTGGGATTCTCTCTCTGCCTCTTACCTGCTCGTGCTCTCTCTCAAAACAAATAAATAAACTTAAAAAAAAAATCCCCTCTAGAACAGAAACTGCTTCGGGCCTCTTCTTAGTGCCCCACAGCAAAAATAAAGAGATGGATTTAGTTGATAACTGACTTAAAAGCTCTTCTCTTACAAAACCAAAGTTTGAATCTGAGATCCAGAGCAAAATAGCTGTGTATCAACCAGCCACAGTGAAACAGGGGGCAAGCAAGGAGATCTCTCGACCAAACTGAGCAAACTCCACAATCTCCTTTAGGAAACTGCCATCCTGTAACAGCCCAGATCTTCCAGGTCATCCAGTCTTCAAGTTCTTTCCTCCCACTGCAGCTCCCCTAAGCTCGGGACACGACCAGCCACCACCTCTTAGGAGCAACCCGACTTATCCTTGCAACTCCAGAATGGTGCAAGCACCTGGAGAGGCAGGTCTGTACGTCTCCCACAGCTTCTAAGCTCATCACAAGGGTAGAGAACATATTTTCGGAGTAAACAGTCTTAGCAGTACATTAGAGACTAAACTCAGTTGCTGCTGCTCAAAACCAGTGGCTCAGGCAAAGGCAAAAAAAATAAGCTGCCTTTGAGAGCTGGTCTCTCCGTTTCAGTGAAACGGAGAACAGACACCTCTGGAGGAAATGCCTCCTTTCCACAGACCTTGGACCCTGTTGTAAAGTCCATGCTCTCAGGCCAGATCAGTGTGTACATCTGTTACTCTACTCTTTTTTTTTTCTTAAGACGTTATCAAGCACTTTTCAAGGTCAAATAAGAGACAATGATCCACAAAAGAGCCGCATGGGGGTAGCCCTGGATTAGTGTCCCCAGTTGACAGTGGAGAGTAACTACTTTGAGCCGAATGAGTAAGTGACAGCTCAGGGACCGGAAGCAAATACTTCAGGAGCCTAGACTCCTCTCCTGCAGCCTCCCTCCCCCAGTGCCTCCCTCCTAGCAAAGCTGGGCAGCAACTGTGAAAAACAGTACCCCACACTGGTTTTTCTTGAGCTGTCGCTTCAGGATACTGATACTACATCTAATTTTGACAGTGCCTGGGATATAAATGGCGCAAGCCGTGAGGCCCAAGTGTCCCAGGTTCAGGACAATCTGCCATTACTTTCCTCGCTGTATAATATATTATCTCTCTAATCACTCAGGCCCAATTCTGCTCCTATCCCCACATGACCCCAAGGTACTGAACCATTTATCACCTGCAAGGGACACAAACTTGAGCTCAAATGCCCACCAGCCCCGGCCCATCTCCGGAGATAAAAACGCGTTCAAAAATTTCACAGCGTAGGAATTTCAACTAGAACACCTGTCAGCAAGAGGACTTCTGGGAAGGGTGATGACACAAAAAATCCAAGATGGTAGAGAATATGAAACCATGTATATTTATCTTGGAGACATTTTTACATTTATGAGATGTCCCAGTTTCTTGAGAATTTATATCTTCATTAAAATTATGAAACTATATCATAAAGATCTAAAACTCCAGCTTGCCAAAGCGTCCCCATGTCACACCGCGCCCCACTTGGTTCTTCTGCCATTCGCTTCTCTGTCCTAGGAATATGGAGTCATTTCTCAAACCGGCATTCAGAGTGGGTATGAAATCAAGCTGGACTCCGCAAACCTGTTGGCTTGCCCAAAAAGAGACTATAAGGGGGTTTTTCCCCCTTCAAATGACTTCTCTCATAATTCCTGCTGAGCTCTGATAAACAACATGACATGTCATCAGAACACTTTAATAAGAAGGGATGATATCTATGTGGGAAAATGTAAAAGCAAGGTTTTCTGAGGATAATATCAAGTGCAGGCAGCCCATGTGAAAATAACCAGGAGCTAAGACTAGATGGACAAATAGAGGTTTCTCATATTTCTTTCATGTTTGGTATGGATTTGATCGACCCTAGGAGTCATGCCTCAAGATGTCACAGCAAAATCTGGAGCCATTTTAACCCGCTATACTAAAATGAAAGAAGCATGACACTGAAATTATACTTGTGTTTAAGTGATTTTACTTCCCGAAATTCCTAAACTAAGGATTTTGAAGGTAGAAAGACACCAGAAGATCTCCAAGAGATATGAAATTTTAAAAGGAAAAAGACTTACAAAGAAGAATAAGCAGGGAATGGTCTCTTTATTTGCACAAATGTCTGGAAATGCACAGAAAGAGATCTAAGAGAGTACAAGCCAGATGTAATAGATGTTACCTCTCAAAGAGTGTTTTGAGGTGGGGATGGGTTACAGGAAGGAAGCAAATAAGGAAGAGAGGCAGAAAAAGAAGAAGGGACTAAATTCTTCTGTTTGCATTATTTTAAAAGAAAATATATATTTGTGTCCCAGCGTATAAACACTAAAAGAGACCATAATAATAAGGTTGTCAGTATTGTTCTTGGTAGATAACAGACAATAAAAACACACTAAAACCATGGTAGAAATGTCACTTCATTGCTACACTTAAATATAATTTAACTACTTACCCATGAGGAAGAGGTTTAAGTATTCATTGCCTCCTAAGTTAACAGAATTCAAGGAGAAGAAGTAGAATCCCAAACACCCAGTGAACCAAATCAGCCAAATAGTAAGTGTCCTTGTTCCAACATTCCAGTCATAAAACAGATCTACCAGGTTGTGCTTCTTAACTTCAAAGGGTTCATTACCAACAGGACCATTTAGATCCAGTGACAACAGTTCTGACAGTTTACAGGAGCGTGCCCTATTCCACTTGGCAATTGTATCAACTACTTTTTGTGCTTCTTCACATCTTCCCTCTGAGAGAAGCCAAAAAGGTGTCTCTGGGAGTATCCAACAGCACAGGACAAAGGGGACAGTCACAGTGGAGAGGACTATCTGATAGATCCACCAGGTCCTGACAAAGTAGCCTGTCAAAGCCACCACCATTGTTCCAATTGCAAAAAAGGAATGCATCTGGATGCATGCCCACGTCCGAGACTTCATGCCAATAAATTCCGTCACATAGACAAACACCACCACGAGATAGCCACTTCCAGACTGAAAAACAAAGCGGGGAGGGTGGTCCAGATTTAAGGTCATATTTATAACTACTAAGGGGTCTGATCTCTCTGCAAATCACACATAGGCAAGAAAGAAAATGACAAAAATTGTCTTCTGAGAGCCATACCACATCTATCAAATGGTGTTTCATCCAACCCATCCGTCTTTTCCCCCCACCCTTGCCGCCCCAAATAGCCAAATGTGAGAGGTTATGTATGATATAAACGAGAGGATATATATGATACATGTTAGACCTTTGTTTCATGTAAGTATTCCTCTACAGCGTGAACTTCTCAGTTAATGTAACTGTGAATATACATACCAATTTATCTATACACAAAGGGCCCTTATTCTTAAATCCGAAATTGTTAAATTGGGACAAAAAATTATGGCAACCGATGGGAAGGAAAAGATTTGATTGAAACTTTATTTTAACAGGCAACAAAAGAAAAGGTTAAACAAATTGGACTTCATGAAAGTTAGAAACATCTGTGCATCAAAGGACACTACCAGCAGAGCGAAAAGGCAATTTATGGAGTGACACATTTGCAAATTATATATCTGATAAGAAATTAATATCCAGAATATATAGAAGACTCCTAAAACTCAACAACAAAACAAATAATCCAATTCAAAATGAGCAAAGGATTTGTATTTTTCCAAAAAGATATACAGATGGCCAATAAGCTCATGAAAAGATGCTCAACATCACTAACTGTTAGGGAAACGCAAATCAAAATCACAATGAGATACCACTCCATAGCCATTAGGATGGCTAATATATTTTTAAAAAAACAGAAAATAACAAGTGTTGACAAAGATATGGAGAAATTGGAACCCCTGAGCACTGTTGGTGGGAATGTAAAAGGATACAGCTGCTGTGGGAAACAGCATGGGGGTTCCCCCCCCAAAATTAAAAATAGATTACCATATGACCCAGCAGCCCTACTTTGGATACATGCTCAAAATAATTGGAAGTGAGGTCTCAAAGAAATATTTGTACACCCATGTTCGTAACAGCATTATTCACAAAGGCTAAAATGTAAAAGCAAGCCAAGCAACCATCGACAGATAAACAGATAAGCAAAATGTGGTATATACATAGAGTAGAATATTCAGCCTCTAAAAGGATGGAAATTGTGACACAGGCTGCAACATGCAGAACTTTAAGGACATTATATTAAGTGAAATAAGCCAATCACAAAAAGATAAAATACTGTATGATTCCACTTATGTAAGGTACCCAGTATAGTCAAAATCACAGACATAGGATGTAGAATGGCAGTCACCAGGGGCTGGGTGGAAGAGGCAATGAGTTACTGTTTAATGGGTATAAGAGTTTCAGTTTTGCAAAATGAAAAGAGTTCTGGAGATGGGTAGTGGTTGTGATTGTGCCACAACAAGAATATACTTAATATCGCCCTAACGGTATACCTAAAAATGATTAAAATGGTAAATTTTATGTGTATTTCACTACAATTTTTAAAATTGGGGGAAATTATTTTGAAATTAAACCTATCTTTATCAAAAATTCACTATAATAATAATAATAATATGTGATCACTCTTGGAATAAACAAAGAATGAATCAAATGATAGATTTTTTTGTGGGGGATGAAGAAAGGATTAGGATTTTTCCTACAGGATTATTTCACATTTGAATTTTATAACACAAATCATAAAGTTAATTTTTGCAATATTATCTGAAAGCCAAAGGCCTCTCTTAATCCTTTGATATTCAAATCACACTCTTTTGAAGGTTCATCATGTCATTATCCATGTGGATGTCAATTTCTTCATAAATTAACTTATCTCGGCCACATCCCAATTGGTCAAGGGATACGGATAGGATTCAGTTTTCCCCCATTGTTTTCAAAGACATTTTGTAATCAAACATCCTTTGTAAGACCTGCAATTTCACCTTGCATCAGAGAGTCACAAAGAGGCTAACCTACAGGCAATTTCCTGTGACAGAGAGGATGACACTAGTAGTAAACAGGGCTGTGCTTAGTGGAGCCCTCCCCATTATTGTTCAGTTTAATATTTTTGTGACAAGAGCTTTCATTTCTCCATACAGCCTTGTAATTGCAACACTTAGACAATGAACCCTGATAATGAGCGGACTCCCACATCCAAGAATTGAGTTGTTTGGTAAATGTTTGGTGCAGGTACAGCACTCGAACAAAGATTGTGATAACTGTGAAATACTGTAAATTTCTCCATTAAGTTAAGTAGTAACATCAAATTTTTCTTCCATATTAATTGAGTCCACTCCCACTTCCTACTGGTTACTTCTGACACTGGGTTCAGACAATCCGTACACAACTGCCTATATTATTCCAAAAGACTCCTTGGATCCATTCACACCTGTCACCTCCCCTGATAACACTCTGTTCTTCACATCTACCCTGACCCCACCCCCACAGAGCAGCCAGAATGGTCACTTGACCACACCTGAACCCCTTCAGGAGATTCTCATAGCCTTTCGGAAGTCAAACAAACTCTTGATCATCCTCTAAGGCCTTGCCTAATTATCTCCCTCCCCTTCAGCCTCATCAAGGTATTTCACCTCCTCTCTACTCTCCAGATATCTGGACCTTCAATTCCTTCTCATCGAAGGGCCTTCTCACTTGCTGCCTCTGCCTGGAACTTTCTTCTCTTACACGCCCCTCAGAACTAAAAAGCCTTGACTCTCCGCCACTCCCCCTGCACCCCCCACACAACTTAAGGCCCCTCCCCATTGTCGTGCCTCTTGTCAACACTGTATTTTTGAAGATGGCCCATCAGTGTTTCGCCTTCCCACTACACTGTAGGGTTACTGAAATGGCCTGGTCTGCTTACTTAGCATTACATTCTGTGGGCAGATCAATAAATGTGTTGAGTAAATTAGTCTGTCTGCATCTTCCCTACTCAGAATTCAACCACAACAACATTTCACATGAAAATCAAAGATGAGAGCCACAGAAAATTAAAGCCACATTTTACAAATGTATTCAATGAGTGGCTGTCTCATTTTCTTAGCTCTGGGGATAAACACTTTATTTGCAAGACTGAAACAGCTCTTTTCAGAATGTATCCTCGTAAGCCTCCCAGAAGAGGACCTTCACCCTATCTCCATACCTGTGCTTCTAGAACCATCATTACCCCCAGAAGAGCTCTCACCAAATCTCACTCTGCAGTTACAGAGCCATTTTCTCTTACTCTGTCCTCAGTGGGGACAGACTGCTGGTTGTTACCCTTTGCATTAAAAACTCTTTACATTCCTATATATATATAATTACTTTTTAAAAGGTGCTACACCTCCCATCCTCCTAAGTGTTTCTCTTTTGATGCATCGTCCCTATCCTTGGCCATCTGTGTGGTTTCCTAGGAACTCTTTCCAGCCATCAGGGAAGATTTCAAAACTGAACACACCACCTTGCTCTGTGAGGGGCTGCAGGGACCTCTTCTGAGATCTACTTCCTTGGCTTCTCGCTGGACCCTTGGCTCCTGCCACCTGGTGAGAGGGGGTGCATGCCCATCTCTGTGTTCAGCAAGGTCACAAGCTCCTCCCACAGATAGAAACATCACACCATTATCCTTGACCAGTGACCTCCAAATAGAATCTCTGCTGTTGTCTGGCAGCTTGGAACCTGTCTGGAAGCTTCACCAAGTGTGGGGACGCTTCCTCACTGGCTGGCTCACTTCCGATAACAGTCACTGCCGGAAGGAAGGCCTATGTCGTGACAGGTGCTGTACTGTGGACGTTTTCTTTAATCTCATTGAATTCTGATAACACCCAGTTATCAATACCAGTGAAGCAGGGGTTATTGTCTACAGTTTACAGATTTGAAACTACGGCTCAAAGAGGACAACGTGTTTGCCCAAATTAAGGCAAAGCTGGTATTCAAATGATATGTCCCTGTTCCTAATAACAGAAAAGCTGAATGCGTCTGGTTTTCATTCCTACACAAATGACTTTGTTTACGCCTTGAATGTCTGTTTGGCCCATGTGTGCAGGCCCTGACCAGGCCAATATAATTGCTTAGAAATAAAATAATGCCTTAGTAATCATGGAATGTGGACCATGTGCCAGGCATGGAGACAAACAAAAAGGTTCTGCCTAGTAAGCAACGATTTTTCATTTTAATGAGTTTCATTCAAACACAGGGCACTACCATTCTGCAGAAAGACTTCTCAGTCGAATGAACAAAGAATCAGTCCCTGATCTCTCTCACCACATACTAAACGACCCACACTAAGAGAGAGTGAGGTTTAATATGAAAATACCGTAGTAGAATTAGAGGTTTCAGAAAAGCGCCCCCATGACTCACCATAGCAAGAAGAAAGCGTGCGATCATGAAGCTGTAATAATCAAATGAGAACGCCACTGCGAGGCCAAATAAAAATATGCCAGTGCTTGTGGACCACAAGACAAATCGTCTCCCTATCCTGAAAAATAAGAAGCACACAGAGAGAAGCAAGGTGTGGTTATCAGAGTTTAAACATCCACTCCAGTTCATGAAAGATGAATGTGACCTATGTATTTAATAGCTTCTGTATTGATTGTTGTCATTCATTCATTTATTTGGGGGAAGTGATGAGTTAACACGTGATTTCTTTAAGATGCCAGTCTTCAGAGGAGACGCCCCTACCCTAGGCCCTCATAAACATACATGATCACCCCGGGTGATCCCCAGAGCACCTCCTAACCCAGGACTGGCAAGGGAGAGGGGAGGGAATCTGTCCTTCCGCTCAGAGGACTTCTGCTCTAGGACCTGTTGGATCATCTTCCCTGTCAGCCTGGCTCTACCCACAGGGGTAAGTCAGCTCTTGCCAAACCCCTCTAAAACCAGAGGTCTTACCACATTCTGCTCATAAGAATAAGGCGCTTACTTGCCCTATATTTTCATCATTGGGAGGGACATTGCTCTGTCTAAAAAGCAAACAAATCATATTCCTGACAGGTTTTTAAAATTTAAGATATAATTCACATAAAGTTCAACCTTTTAAAGTATACAATTCAGTGGCTTTTAGTGTATTCAAAAAGCTGTGCAACTCTCATTACTGACTCCAGGACATTTTCATCACTCCAAAAAGAAATTCTGTACCCAGGAGCCACCATTCTGCCCTCTCTGCTCCCTCCAGTCCCTGACAACCACTAACCTACTTTCTTTCCCTACAGAGTTGCTTTTTCTGGAATTTTATGTTAACAGTGTCATACAATATGTGACCTGCAGTGTCTCGCCACTCTCACTTAGCATGGTGTCTTCAAGTTTCATCTGTGAGGTAGCCTGTATCAGTACTCCGGTCCTTTTTGTGTCTAAGTGACCCTTCATTGTATGGCTATATCACATTTTGTTTATCTATTCATCAGCTGATGGACAGTTGGACTGTGTCCACTTTTTGGCTGTTGGGAATAATACTGCCATGAACATTTGTGATCAAGATTTTGTGTGAATTTGTTTTCAATTCTCTTGGGTATATACTTAGGAATGGAGTTTCTGGGTCATATGATAACTCTTTGTTTAACATTTGAGGAACTGCCAACCTGCTTTCCAAAGTGGCTGCCCTATTTTTACAATCTCACCAACAATGAATGAGGAGAGGAGACCAATTTCCCCACATCCTTGACAACACTTGTCTATTATTGTCTTTTTTTTTTTTTTTTTTTTTTTTTTTTTAGTGAGAGAGAAAGAAAAATCATAAGCAAGGTAGAGCCTGATTCAGGACTTGATCCCATGACCCCCGGGATCATGACCTGAGCTAAAATCAAGAGTCGGACACTCAACTGACTGAGACACCCAGGTGCCCCATTGTCTGTCTTTTTGATCACAGCCATCCTAATGAGTGTACAAGGGTATCGCACTGTGGTTTTGTTTTACATTTTCCTTAATGATTAATGGTGTTGAGTATTTTTATATGTGCTTATTGGCCATTTGCATATATCCTTTAAAGAAACATCTACCTAAATCCTTTGCCCATTTTAAAACTGGGTCATTTGTCTTTTATTGTTGAGTTGTAAGAGTTCTTTATGTCTTTGGGATACTGGACTCTTATTAGATATGTAATTTACAAATATTTTCTCCCTGACAGATAATTTTAAGGTAAAAGAATATAGTCCTGAGATTCCAACCAACACGTTTGCCCGGTAGAACAGAGGATATGCAAGCAAATAAAAAACTGTCATCTGCACACCCTCAGCCTTCTCTGCTCCCACACACACTAGTAGGGATGGTTGGTCCTACACATGCATGTTCTCCAATCTCATCTGAGCCCTGAATGCCGTTTCAAACTTTTTAGCCGTCCCCAGTCAACCTCCTCTACCAGCCACAATGTCTCCACCACCCAACTCCTGCAGAAAACAGACACCGTCAAAGAGAAAGCCCCACAACTTCTTGTTCTACCCACTCGCCAACACAACCTGAATCTGCATTCAGCTTTCTCTTCTTCTCTCCTCTCCAGAGACATAAACTCTTTTCTTTCCAAATACCATTTTGCGATCTTTGTATTGGATCATGCCTCTTCCCACCTCCTCTGAGAACTTATTCCAACAATGACTTTTTCCCCCCCTCTATCTTTCTCTCTTCTCTGACTCTTTCTTTTCAAGTTAAGTCTTTTCCAACCCAAGACAAGAACCTCTGGACCCCATCACTCCTTCAGTCCCAATGCTCCTTGCATTTCCTCCACGGAAGGCTTATCAGAAAGGAGTATCTACTTCTTCAACTCCTATGTTTCCTAAGCCATGACACCAGGTTGCAACTGGCTTTACTGAGATTGCTCTCCCGTCACCAGGGACCTCCATGTTGCCTCTCTCAGTCCTTATTTGCCTGTCTTCTCTAGTGCCACTGGCCATGTCCACTCCTGAGGGCCAGCTCTCCATCAGCTACAGAAGCCACTCTCCAGCTTTGCCTCATATCACCCTGGTGGCCTACCTGTCTCCATGCTGGCATTTCCTGAAGTCCACCAAATTATGTCAGTTTCAAAATGCCTTTCAGGCCCTAGGGTGGCAAGATCATTAAGCATCTGACTTCAGCTTAGATTATGATCTCGTGAGATTCAGTCCCACATTGGGTGAGCTCATCCCCTGCTTTGGGTGAGCCCTGCTTCTCTCTCTCTCTCTCTCTCTCTCTCCCCTCCTGGGCTTCTTTCTCTATCTCTGCCCATGGCTCACTTGCACTCTCTTTCTCTAAACAAACAAACAAACAAATAAATACCTCCTCAAAATGTATCCATCTTTCCCTCTCTGCTCCTCCTCCCAACATGGCACCAGTGTACTCCCCACAGTGCCCAGAAATAAAACAATCCCAGGTATGGCTTAGCATCACTTCCTTTATGCATCCTTCACTTCTGCCAGACTGACTTAGGCTCTCTCATGACATGAAGTTGTTCCTTCCCCCTTAGAAAGCCTTCCCTATTGAGCATTTAAAACCCAGGTCAAATGTGCAGCCTTTTCTGACCATCCTCTGGGGTCTCATGGCAGAAGTGAAGGACAACACAATGGTATGTAGTTAGGTGCCTGGGACTGGATTCAAATCCCAGCTTCACTGCTTACTTTCCAGGTTAATTTTCTGTGCTTTCTTTTCTACAGTGGTATTTAAAATAGGGCCAGTAATGCTTACCACATAGACTTCTTTAAGTAATTACATGAGATAATACACAAGACATTTAAAATAGTATGGGGTGCCTGGGTGACTCAGTCAGTTGGGCGTCCAGCTTCGGCTCAGGTCGTGATCTCACAGTTCATGAGTTCGAGCCCCATGTCAGGCTCTGTGCTGGCAGCTAGCTCAGAGCCTGGAGCCTGCTTTGGATTCTGTGTTTCCTCTCTCTCTGCCCCTCCACTGCTCATACTCTGTCTCTCTCTCTCTCTCTCTCTCTCAAAAATAAATAAAACATTAAAAAAATAAATTAAATAAAATGGTATGTAGCTCATAGTAAATGGTCCATAAAAGTGAGTTGTTGTTTTTTTTATTTTATTTTACAGAGAGAGATTTTTTAAATTTTATTTTACAGAGAGAGAGGGGGGGAGAGAGAGAGAGAGAGAGAGCAGGGGAGGTACAGAAGGACAGAGAAAATCCCAAGCAGGCTCCATACTCAGCACAGAGCCCAAGGCAGACCTAGATCCCACAACCCCAGGATCATGACCTGAGCCAAATCAACAGTCAGATCCTCAACCATTGTGGTTTTGATTTGCATTTAGTGATGTTGAGCACCTTCATGCATCTGTTGGCCATCTGCCTATCTTCTTTGGGAAAACATTTATTCACATCTTCTGTTCATTTTTTAATCAGATTGGGTTTTTTTGGTGTTGAGTTGAATAAGTTCTTTACACCCTTTGGATATTATCCCTCACTGGATATATCATTAGCAAATATCTTCTCCTTTTTAGTAGGTTGCCTTTTCATTTTGTCGAGGGTTTCCTTTGTTACACAAAAGCTTTTTGTTTTGGCGTAGTCCTAATAGTTTATTTTTGCTTTTGTTTCCCTTGTCTGAGGAAACATTTCTAGAAAAACACTGTGTAGGCTAATGTCAATGAGATTACTGTCAATGTGTTCTTCTATGAGTTTTATGATTTTAGGTCTCATATTCAGGTTTTTAATCCATTTTGAGTTTATTTTTGTGTATGATGTAAGAAAGTGGTCCAATTCCATTCTTTTGCATGTAGCCGTCCAGTTTTCCCAGCACTATTTATTGAACAGATTGTCTTTTACCCATTTGATATTCTTGCCTCCTTTTGTTATAGATTAATTGACCATAAAGTCTGATTTTATTTCTGGCCTTTGCAATGGCATTTTTAAAGTTTTGTATATTACTAGTAGATAGAAACATAATTAATTTATATGTATTAATAACATATCCAGCAATCTCATTAAATGCTCATTAATTCCAATAAATCTTCTGCTGGATATTTTTCATACAGAATTGTAATGGCTAAAAATAATGACTTTTTTCTTTTTTCTTTCCACTTATGCTTTCCTCCCTCCCTCTGCTTTTCCCTCTCTCTTTCATTTCTCTGTTTTGCTTTATAGGAATCCAGTATAATACTAAGCAGAAGCAGTGTTTCACACATCCTTATGTACTCCTCATTTCAAAGGAAAAGCTTTTAACGTTTCACAGTTAAGATGCTCATGGTAGATCCCTTTGTAGATACCTGAATGTATTTTGAAATTTATCAAATGTTTTTCCTGAGTCGATAATATGAAATTTTGTCCTCTAATCTATTAATGTGGTAAATTCCACTGATTATTTTTTTTAATGTTTATTTACGAGAGAGAAACAGTGAGAGAGCATGAAAGCAGGGGAGGGGCAGAGAGAGAGGGAGAGAGAGAAGCTCAAGCAGGACACAGGGCTTGATCACACAAACCATGAGATCATGACATGAGTGGAAATCAAGAATTGGACGCTTAACCAACTAAGCTACCCAGGCATCTCTGATTAGTTTCTAATATTAAGTATATTTTAGACTTTATCCCTCAGCCTTCATGAATTTTAATTTTTCATATTTTCCATCTGTCTCTCTGATGTTTATTATTGATAATTTTTTCTGAGCTTTCATCCATTTTACTCATTCTCTCTCTAGTTATATATAATAGGTTGTTAAAACTTCCCAGGAATTTGTCAGGAACTTATTATTTTTTTTCTAGATGTTCTAGGTAGTTATTCTTCAATTTTATGTCATTGTAAAACACAATTTCTAGGGACACCTGGTTAGCTCATGCAGTGGAATATGCAACTCTTGATCTTGGCATCGTGAGTTCTAGATCCGTGTTGGGCTGAGAGTTTACTTTAAATAAATAAGTTAGTAAGTAAGTAAACAAATAAATATAATACAGAGCCCATGTCAAGCTCTACGGTGACAGTGTGGAGCCCACTTAAGATTCTCTCTCTCCTCTCTCTCACTGCTCCTTCCCCACTCATGCATGCGTGCTCTCTAAATAAATAAATATTTAAAAAATAAAATACAATTTCCAGTACTTTAATTCTTCTTTGTGCAGAAGGTCTGCTTTGGGGGCCTATTGCTTCTGCTGACTCTCACTCATGGTGCCTTTCAATCATGATTTTGGCTTTGACTGACCTAATTTCCACACTCCAGGAAGATGGTTATGGAACAGAAGATTCTTTTTTAATGCTTTTTAAAAGTTTTTTTTTTTTTGAGAGAGAGAGAAAGAGAGAGAACCAGCAGGGGAGGGGCAGAGAGAGAAGGGGACAGAGGATCTGAACCAGGCTCTGTGCTATCAACAGAGAACCCTATGCGGCTCGAACTCGCAAACTACGAGGTCATGACCTGAGCTGAAGTCAGATGCTTAACCAACTGAGCCACCCAGGTGCCCCTGGAATAAAAGATTCTTAAACATAGAAACATAACTTCATCCACCAAATAATAACTAGACTCCAATTCTGCTTTAATTTCATTATTCAAATGCCACCTCCTGGGATGGGGATTAGGGGTGGGAAGACCTAGGCACTCCTCCCTTTAGGCTTCCATAGATTTTGCCTCATTGCTACTATGGCCCTGGCCACAATAAAACCCTACAATTTTATTTTGGACATGTTTGGACATGGGCGAGACTTGGACCTACGCTATTGTTTTCAGGTTTCCAGGGCCCAGCATATGGCTGCAAAACTTACAACTATGGGGACCATACATTCACTTCTGTGCTTTAGCACAGGTACTTAAAGTGTAGTCCATGTCCACAGAGAGATGCACTTTGCCTTGTTTAAGGGCTATGTATTCATTTTAATGTGTGTTTTTTAAAGAAAATACGGCTGGTGTATCAAACCCACAATTTCATAAATATTATTGCATAGAACCAGACTACACTTCTTTTTTTTTTGTGTTTTTTTTTTTATTTATTTCTAGGAGAGAGAGAGAGAGAGAGAGACAGCGTGAGCAGGGGAGGGTCAGAGAGAGAGGGAGTCACAGACTCTGAAACAGGCTCCAGGCTCTGAGCTGGCAGTCAGCACAGAGCCCGACGAGGGGCTCGAACCCACGAACCGCGAGATCATGACCTAAGCGAAAGTCGGACGCTTAACCGACTAAGCCACCCAGGCGCCCCCAGGCTACACTTCTTAAAAAGCAAGTTTATTTTTAAAAAGATTAGATAGATAGATAGATAGATAGATAGATAGATAGATAGATAATGTTCATATTCAAATAGTAACCAGTATTTATTGAGTGGTTATATGCCCAAAGTACTTTCTTTAGTATTTTTTCAATAACCCTTTGAAGTTAGTGCTATTATTTTCATCACCAGCTTACAGACTACTTTCTGAAGCACAGGTTATGCAATTTGCCTAAAGCTCATGGCTAATAAGGGGTAGAACCAGGATCTGAACCCAGGTAGACTGTCTTCAAAACACATCCTCTAACACTATGGTTTTGTGTGTGTGTGTGTGCCCCTAAATGACAAAGCAGCAAAGAGGTAGGTATTTAGAGAGGAGGTATCAAAATAACTAGAGTTTTGAACATAATTCCTTGATCTTTAAGAAAACCAGATAGGAAAATGAACCCAACACTGATGCAACAAACTTAAAGATTTCATTTTACCTGTCAGAAAGGTAGCCAAAAATCATCGCTCCCAGCAGAACTCCCACCATAAATGCAGGCTGGATCACCTTTGCGAACCATTCTCGGTTACAGACCAGATCCCACTGAGTCACCACGGTACTGTCCCACTTGCTTTTGTCATAGACATAGCCATCCACGCAGGGAAAGCCACTTTTACGGCCACTGTAATCATAGTTCAAACCAGACTTGTCATCCCTCCGGAAACTGTGACAACTTGTGAGCTCCCAGACCTCACCGTTCTGTAGCTGCACTATAATGTGATCTTCGTGGCCTGTGATAAACAGGATCCAGATGTCCTCCAACCTCCAACTAGAGATATTGTGGAAAAGGACCCGACTCACGTTGCCTGGGGGCCTACAGGTATGGTAGGGGGACACTGTCATGAACACAGAGGCCAAGTAGTGGATACCACAAGAGATGTTCTGGAAAGCACATATAAAATAGATGAATATCTGAAATCTGCAAAGAGAAGAAAAGCAAGTTATTATATCTGCCTTATGGGCTAAAAAAGACTATAAGCAAATATGAAGGGTGTTCATCATGGTTAGCTTAACATATATACAAATGAATAAATACGGAAATAATTATAGATATGAAATATATACATATACATAACATGTTAGTATACATACATAACTCTGTCTGGTAGGAGGGCCTAGAAGCAATGACATTGAGACAGGGAAACTAAAGGGACCCCCTGAGAAATTGCTTTTTTTGCTCCTTTTCCTGCTTCTATTCTTGTTAGGACCTACACCCCCACCTTACACATGCCTTAGAGAACAGATAATGTATGTCCTCCTTGTAAAAGCCAAGGAGTTAATGCTTTCTTAGAATCTTCCAGCACAGTAGATAGCATCTAAGGAGTGACCAGGTAGGGTCAAGACCACTAACTCATCAAGACCCCTGGCTCCAGGTCATATGTGAACTATGGAGAACACCTAAACACTCATCTTTGTTCCTGGATGCTTAAGAAGACACGTGCACCAGACCACTGTCCCCAGTAAAAACCCCAGACTCCAAGCAAAGATGGAACTCACTCTCCTTTCCTTTCCCAGATGCTCTGTCGATATATGCTTTCTTTATGTCTTCAATAAACTCTGTCCTCACTTCCTCTTGGCTTACGTTTGGTTTATATTCTGCATGAAGCCAACAACCCTCTTGGCTGGTCCTCAAACCCAGCCAGCCTGCATCAACATCTCAATAGCAACAAGCACACCCAGTGCCCAGATCTTGTTTTCTAAATACCATCCTCCAATAAAAGAAACCAGGAAAAATGGCTGATTTAAGACCAGGACAGGGAAAATGAAAAATATGTCTAAAGCATCTTGTGGTATCAGAAAGTAAGGAAGAGCTCAAAATACAAAATGATGGGGGCATGTTAAAGGGACACAGGAACCAATCTGAAATACTTCCCAATGGGCAAGTCTGAAACAATTTGAGCAACAAAATAAATAGCATGGTAGATTCCAAAGTATAAAATAAACCTATGAGTCTAGACTGTGATGTTTAATTTTATATGTCAACATGACTGGGCTAAGGAATGCCCAGGTAGCTGGTAAATATTATTTCTGCACATGTCTATGAGGTTGTCTCTGGATGAGATTAGCATTTGAATTGGGCAACTGAGTGGAGATCACCCTCATAAGTGGGTGGGCATCAAGCAATCCACTATGGACTTGACTAGAACAAAGGACAGAGGAAGGGCAAATCTGATCCCTCTTCTCCTACCCTTAGACATTGGCATCCTTGGTTCTCAGACTTTTGGACTCAGGCTGATATAGGGAAACTGAAGACTTCATAAAAAGCTGCTTTTTGCTCCTTTTCCTGCTTCATTCTTGCTAGGGCCTGCACCCCCACTTTACACATGCCTCAGAATGCAAACAGTGTACATCCTCCTTGTAAGGAACAAGGAGTTAATGATTTCTTCAGAACGGACAACATCTAATGAAGGACCAGATGAGAATGACCAATGAAGCTGTCATATGCACATTCCAGACCACCCGCACTAGACATCTTGACGCCAAGGCCTTCTGGCTCCAAGGAATAGTACCTGGGCCCTGGTCTCTTTTCTAATTCCTAGATGCTTGAGAGGCCACAGACACCAGGTCATGATCCTCAGTAAAAACCCCCAGACCCCGAACAAACATAAGACTTCCTCCTTTCCTTTCTGAGTCTTCCAGAAGCTCTGTCTGTATGGGCAGTCTCTCTATACTTTCAATAAACTATGCTTTCACCTCCTGTGGCCTGAGTTTAATTTCTATCCCAGGCACAAACAAGAACCTTCTTGGCTGATCCTGTGGGACCCCTTCTGGGTCCTCGAACCAAGCCTGCCAGCATCTGGACCAGGACTCACATCATCAGCCCGCCAATTTTCAGGCCTTCAGACTTAGACCACACAAATACACCACCAGCTTTCCTGGGTCTCCAGCCTACAGGTAGCACATGGTGGGACTTGACTGCCTCCATCACTGTGTGAGCCAATTCTTACAATAAATCTCTTATCTACATCTCTATCTATGTCCTATTTGCTCTGTTTTTTGAGGGGATCTAGATGGATACAGATTTTGGTACTGAAATTAGTTCTAAAGGAACAAAATTTAAGAATGAGTTTTCTGAATTGGTACTGGGGTTTCTGAAAATGTCTGATTTGATTAGATTTAAATATACTATTGGCTATTCCCAGCAGTAAAGAGAACACTGATATTCCATGGTGTGAACTGTTTATAGGAACACACAAAATATCAGCATTGGACAGTGTCATCAGTATTCCAACTTTTAAAAAAAAGTTTATTTTTTGAGACAGAGAGACAGTGTGGAAGTGAGTGGGGGAAGGGCATAGAGAAAAGGAGAAAGAGAATCCCATGTAAGCTCTGCATTGTCAGCACAGGGCCCAAAGTGGGACTCAAACCCATGACCGCAAGACCACAACCCAAGCCAATATCAAGAGTCTGATGGTTAACTGACTGAGCCACCCAGGCACAGGGGGTATTTCTTCTTTATTATGAATGCTTGTGTGTATAGAGACATATATTAAGCAAATATCTTTGTTTTATTCCTTATTCTGTCCTCATATAACATAAGATGTATTGCCATATCAGTATTTAAATAGCTTTACACCATAATATTTAAGTTATAGACTATCAAATAAAGAGTAAACACCATCCAAGGACTTTATGTCTCCTTCTGGGAAAGAGATTAGCTTATTTTGGATTGTATGTTGGATAGTTGTGTCACACTGAGTGGAATTAAGACCTTGTTATTGTCTTTATTTAGAGATCAAGTTTGGTGTAAAGAGATCCATATGGGTTGCAAGTTGACAAGGGGTGAACCTGTGATGGTTAATTTTATAAATCAACTTGACTGGGCCAAAGGATGCCCAGACAGTTGGTAAAACATTATATCTGGGTGTGTCTGTGAGGAATCTCCAGAAGAGATTGGCATTTGAATCTGTAAACTGAGTAAACATCATCTTCACCAATGTGGGTGGGCACCACCCAATACATTAAGAACCTGAAGAGAACAAAAAAGCCAAGGAAGTAATAATTCACTTTCTTTGCTTGGCTGAGACATCCATGTTATCATGCCCTCAGACATTTCATGCCCCCGTGCTCCTGGTTCAGACTCTGCCAGGGCCGTACACCATCAGCCCTGTGGTTCCCAGATCTTGGGACTGGGACTGAATTATAGCACTGGCTTTCCCAGGTCTCTGGCTTGCACACAGTACATTGCGGGACTTCTCACTTCTACAATTGTGTGAACCAATTCCTGTAATAAATCTCCTCTTCCCTACATCTATGTCCATCGACTTATATATCCTATCAATTTTGTTTTTCTGGAGAATCCTGAAAAATATACCACTTGGTATAAATAAATGGTTGAACAAACAGGTACAAAGGACAGATGAGACAAATCTTTCTTCTAGTAGAATTCCAACTATCTGCAGATATTCCCCCTCTACAGGAGATGGAGCTTCATTCCCACCCTTTATTCCTGGAGGGCAGGCTAAGACACAGTGACTCTTTTCCAAATACGGTAGGGAAAAAAAGTGGGGGGGTGCCTTGATGGTTCAGTCAGTTGAGCGTGGGTCTCTTGATTTCAGCTCAGGTCATGATCCTGTGGTCATAGGATTGAGCCCGTTGTGGAGCTCCGAGCTGAGCATGGAGCCATAGCGTCTGCTTAGGATTCTCTCTGTCTCTGTCTCTCTCTCTCTCTCTCTCTCTCTCTCCGTGCCCCTCTCCCCTTCTCATGCACACACACTCTCTCTCTCAAAACAAAACAAAACAAAGAATGAAAAAGGAAAGAAGAGTAATTTTACAGTGGGAGAAATCAAGCAAATCCTATCTTAACCAAACGTTGAAGGTTAATACCTCCAATGATGTTATGTGGATATCATGTGCTCCTATGATATGATCATCAAGTACTTCACACCTTGGTGACATCTTCCAAAAGCCATAACCCCAGTCTCTTCAGGAGAAAAATAACAAATAATCCCAAACTGTAGGACATTCTACAGTTGCCAGGCCAATATGCCTAAAGATCCCCAAGGTCATAAAGAAACAAAACAAAACCAAGCAAAAAATGAGAGACTGAGAAACTACCACAGACCACAGGAGACCAGGATAACACAACTAAATGCAGTGTTATACCCTGAATTAGATCCTGCAACAGGAAGAGAACGTTAGTGGAAAAACTGGTGAAAGCCTGGGGTTTAGTTAATAGTAATACAGTCACGTCAGCTTCTTAGTTTGGCAAATACGCCACAGTAAGGTAGACATTGACAATGGGAAGGCAAACTGGGTGAGGGACATGCAGGAAGTATCTTTGCAACTTTTCTGTAAATCTAAAATGATCCAAAAATTAGAACTTTATTCAAACTTTAAAAATAAATGTAGAGTCTCCAAATTTACAGACTCAAGCCAACAAACAGTGACATAGTTTCCGAAATAAAAGTTGTCTCACAAGGACAACTGTGCCAGGAAGGCAGGGTAAAGTATATAAAATTTAGATTTCCCCATTAATTTCAAAGCCCTGGAATCAAGATAGAACAGCCCCCTTTGGGCAGGTGGTTTCAATATTCAATTTTAAAGTGAACAGCTCGAACAACGAGGAACATTACCGTAAAACCGTTATAACGGGTAGTAGAAAATAGGCCCTGTCAGATCACACTGAGCCAAACTGCACTGTTGATACATGCGATCTTCATCTCCCTACTTTTCGGAGCTGTCCACCCACCTGGGCCTGGTGCGCCTTCTCTCTGGAAGGTGCTTCTGACCCTCCTGTAGCTCACTCATTCTCAAACTTTTTTTCTCAGGAACCTTTACATTCTTACAAATGTTGAGAATCCCAAGGGCCTTTTCTTTATGTGAGTTGTCAGTTATGTATTAGGAATTAAAAAGGAGAAAATTTTTAGTATTTATTCGTCCATTTGAACATAACAGGAATAAGCCTACTGCATTAAAGAACATATAGATATCATTTTCAAAACAAAATGAAACAAAGTTAGTGGGCAGGATGGCATTGTTTTACATTTAACATTTAGATTAATGGGGTGCCTGGGTGGCTCAGTCAAATTTCCGACTTTGGCTCGGGTCATGATCTCACAGTTTGTGGGTTAAAGCCCCATGGGGGGCTCTGTGCTGACAGCTCAGAGCCTGGAGCCTGCTTCGGATTCTGTGTCTCCCTCTCTCTCTTCCCCTCCCCCCCAAAATAAATTAACCTTAAACAAATTTTAATGTGGTTTTTTTTACATTTTTCTAGTGTTTATTTATTTTTGAGAGAGAGAGAGAGTAAGAGCATGAGTGGGGGAGGGGCAGACAGTGAGGGAGACATGGAATCCAAAGCAGGCTCCAGGCTCTGGGCTGTCAGTACAGAGCCTGATGTGGGGCTCGAACCCACAAACCACTAGATCATGACCTGAGCCAAAGTTGGACGTTCAACCGACTGGGCCACTCAGGCACCCCTAAACAAATTTTAATTTAGATTAATGGAAGACAGCTGGTTTTTCATATCAGTGTCTGCATTCCATCTGATGCATTATTACATGTCGGCTAGCCTCAGGAAAACCCCACTGTGCCTTCCTGAGAGAATGAGAGTAAACAACAGCAGCTGGGGCCTTGCAGACCCAGAGATGTGCAGGTCACGCTGTGCGAACAGCAGGCCTCGGCCATTCCTGCCGCAGCACCTCCCCTCCACTCCTCTGGTCTCTCCACGCTAAATGCCTCCATCCAGCCCCTCTTTACCCATCCCCACTGCCTGCTTCTCTCGGGTCCACCCTTTCTATTTGCTTCCCCTGCTCTGCCATCTCACCTTTGCTCATTTTCTCTCCCATTTCTTTCTCTCCCCTCTCTGACCACAGTATACAGCTGAAGTACCATTCTGTTATACACCTGTGTTTGTTAAAGAACATCAGGTGAATGCTTTCTATTTCTCTACCAAATCAACAGCAACAAAAAAATTCCCACAAAAGGCTGAATGATAGTCCCATAAAGGTAGAAATGGTACTTCAATCACGTTAGTATCTCTGTGGCACCTAGCACGGTGTGTAGTGCAGTGTATGTAGAATGTCATGGAATCCCTCAGGGTAAAAGGAGCAGTGCTGAGATTATTGCATACTCAGTACCTCTGGTAAGGAGAGGTTCAAGAGGCCAGTGCATAGGGGCACCTGGGTGGCTCAGTCAGTTAAGCATCGACTCTTGATTTCAGCTCAGGTCACGATCTCACAGTTCATGAGTTTGAGCCCTGTGTCAGGCTCCATGCTGAGAGCATAGAGCCTGCTAGGGATTCTCTCTTCCTCTCTCTCTGCCATTCCCCTGCTCATGCTCTAAATGAATAAATAAATAAATAAATAAATAAATAAATAAGAGGTCGGTGTATAAAAATTTTTGACTGGATTCTCCTTCAGCCAAAAAAAAAAAAAAACGATGTGTGTGTGTGCACAGATGTATAAAATGAGCATATCTGGATACACGTATTTACATACTGAATTAACATATTATGCATATTGTAATATAAATTCATATACATGTACATACCCTCATATGTAAAATAGGTGTGCTCATGGTACTCCAAAGAATCATCTTTGTCCACCAGAGGGGTGAACACACCCCACGCTGGAGACTCTGACAAGGTGGCAATGCTAAGCAAAGTCACAGAAGCGGTGCTGTGAAGTTATCAAGCTGGCAACCTCCCCCAGTGCCCAGGGATGACTGCCAAGCTGGCACGCGGCCACGGTCCCTCGCTTCTAGAACCCCACGGAGACAGAGAAGTAAAATGGAACCAATTTAACATATTGTGGCCATCCAGATGCCACACACTGGAGCTGGCCACGGTTTCAGAGTTGAACTCTGTATCTGGCACTGGCCCCAGCAGCCAGTTCAAAAAGAAAAACACGACGCAAAAGGCAAGCGAGCAACGAGTGGCTTTCTTCTAGCAACAGAAATGGAGGGAGAACACACACATACTATTCTCAGTGTCTCCGGGGTGGGTGGCCGAGAGAAGAGCCTAGAGCACTAAAGCCTGAGTCCTTGCAGCTAAAAGGAGCCAGCTCTGTTTTTCTAGACAAGGCAACCCTGCCCGAAGAACAGCTATCAGAAATCGGCCTCAGTCTATCCCATACCGAGGGGCTGGGTAGGAACAGCAGGCTGGGAAGACAAGCCTAAGTTGCTGTGACTCAAAAGAACCTGAGAAGCTAAGATCACACTTGAAACGGTGGTGCCTGACCCTCACTGCCGCAGGTCACTAGCCTCCATGCCCGGGCTGCTAGATATCACTGTGGAGCCACAGGGTCAGGCTCTGCCCTTGGCCTGCACACACTATGCTACTTGTGAGCACCTGGCTTGGCTGGAGGGTCGCCTGCCCCAGGGAACAGGCTTGTGGATTCAGGAAGTGCTTCTCCCCTGGCCGGTAGTTCCTCACGAAGCACTTCCCATCCTGCGAGGGTGATGAAGGATGGCTAGAAGGGCGCTGTGAGACAACTCCATCCGAGCGGCTCTGCTTGTGTCAGGCAGATTCTAGACAGGCCTGTTCTTGCACAGCAGGGACTCCCCATTTCCCTCGCCCAGGTTACACCTGTTGCTTATGCTGTACATGGCACCTTATTCGGCATTGTCTCGGCCCCACTGTGCCTATTCTACTAACACTGTATGTTGGATCATGCACTTTAGCATCTGGGTTGGTACCTAAGTAGTTTCTTCCCTTGGAATGGCTCCACTGTTGAAAAGGTCACATTCTGCTGATGGTAACCTCCCACCCTCCCCCATCCCCCGGTCCTTCTCGCTGACCCCAGCCGCAGCCCCATGCAGGAGCCCAGTCTTTGGATCCCACCAGCTTCTTAAGTTTATTGCCACCTCCCTGGCTTCACTTCCTTCCCCAGCCAGCCTGAACCCCACAGTCAACCCTAGAACTACTTACACACACACACACACACACACACACACACACACACACACACACCAACAGAGCACCTACCATCGCACCCTCTGAAACTAGGATTTGTCTTCTCTGACCCACCCCTAGTGACTGTGGTTCAGGAGGTCTGAGGTAGGATCCAGGACTCTATACAAGCTTAAAAAGCTTCCTAAGAGATTCTGACATGGAAGAGAAACACCACCCTGAGAAACCGAATTCTCTGGTTGAACTATCTGTTGATACAAGGTTTGACATGCAAAATATTTAACAGTTGTTGTGGAGCAACTGGGACTCTCATAAACAGCTTGTGAGGATGTAATCTGTTGCAACCGCTTTGCCGATCTGTCTGGCCGCTGACTACACGCACACTCAGCAAGAGTGATTCCTCTCCTGGTA